GCAGCGTAGGAGGGCTGAACCTATGAACTTCTTAAAACTAGAACAACTAGACCACTGAATCAAGCAGGGAGGAAACTAAGAATTAAGGAAGTATTAAATTGGAGTGCTTTAGTTGTACCAGTCAACAAGTGTATTTAATAGAATTTCTGTAAGACTTTTTTAGTGCTAATTAACTTTAAAGTTTTTGTTTTTTTCCCAGTATACAATCATATGCGGATATATTTTTTTACCACAACAGGGTAACCACTGCAGCGCTGCAACATTCCGAAGGGGTAGCACTACCTTGCTTTAGCATGCAAGGGTGACTGCTGCACAACCCTCTTATTAATATCCTTGAGTCTAAGTAGAACTACTCTGCAGGGACTCCGCTCTCGCGAAGCGCCATTTTGGATTCTTGAGAGGAAATAAACACTAAGGATCCAGCTTTACAAGCTAGTGAAAGGGTATCAGTAATCGGAAAGGGCTGGAGGGCTCTTAATATACTCAGTGGGGATACACTTACGCAACTGCACGTGAAGCTTTGCGGAGGGGGTCCAGATGAAGGCAAGAAAACTAATATTGATACTCCGCAGGCCGGCTGAAAAATTAACCCTTCAAGGGACCCCGTCTACGGTCCGCTGGCGGAATGGCAGGCGTTATTTAAAATATTTAAAGCTAAACTAGATTATATCTAAAAAAAATTAGGTTAAAGCATAGGGCGTTAAATTCTCAATTAAAGATACTACAATCCTTTACTCAAATCAAAAAGCTAAAGCGTTCGTGATAGGGGACCTCTTAATCGCGGATATAGCCTATAGCTTATCGGCTCTGGTCTAAGAGTTATTTTAAAGAGTGAGCTCTACTTTAATCCTCTTAAACAAATTAAGTTACTAGAGTGAAATCACTAGTGACTTGCAGATAAAAGGTAAGGCGGTATACTCCGCAACCGAGAAGCGTGCAAAGCGCGAGCTGCTTAAATTAGTCAACAGCACAGCATGCTCCACTGTCGCGGAGGGGCTACGCTGCCCCACCTGTCGCGTGCTGAGCGTTGCTGGTGGGGCCCGTTGCTTCTAAAGGACTGCTTCTGCTTTACCTGCTCCGCGGGAGGGAGAGCCTGTCTGCGGACAGTAGGATAGCTGTTTACTTATCTATATACTTAGCTGGTAAGTTAACGTTTCACACCTTAACTACTTTCTCTTAAGATCGCTCCAGGTTTAGAGCTTCACTAAATTATTAATAAGAATACAACGGCAGGTTAACCTAAGCTAATCTACTCGTTACCTGCCTTATAGCTAAGGTACCAAGAAGCTCAGCTCAAAGGCCTCCCTCGTGCCCTCCCCGAGTGCGAGAGTTAAGGTAGAGCACCTCCTCATGATGTAAAAGGTTCGCGCCCGCGCAACCCTCCAGGATTATAGCTGCCCTGGTACCCTGCAAACTGCTTCTGCTTTAGCACAGTCCAGTGAAGCTGGCGCGAGCGTGCTGCGCCCAGCCCCCTGTCCCGCCCTGCTCGGGAAGGGGCAGCGCTGGTCTGGTGGTGGGATTGTATGTAACTAAAGAATAAAAAATTTTTTAACAAAAACTTAAGTGTTAGACAATCTACTCTCTCCTTTAGCAAAGCTAGCTATCGTAAACTAGCCCTGAACCCATACTGCTCGAGGGTCCTGAATCGTAGTATTACAGGCTGGAGCCTGCCTCCCGGCAGGGCGGAAGGTAACTGGTGACGGGACTGAGCCCACGGCTGCGGATTTATCCCTCCCTTGTTCAACCTCCACTGTCCCTCCAGCGCTGCGAACCCTTAGCAGTGCTGGAGGTTCGCACCAGCGACGCTAGATGAGAAAGCAGTCCTTCGACTCTGGGAATTCGCAGGATTGTAGCTCCTGTTACGCAGTGCGCCCCCTGCGGAGCGCCGTTAAAGCAAGGAGAGGCAGCGCAGCATGCTGGAGGAGGACAAAATTTTTTTAATCGTTGTTATTTTCTATTTATTTTCCCTTATTATTTATAATAAAATTTGATACTTTTTTTATATACCCTTAAAGAACCTTAACTAGATTATTTTTTAATCTTAGTTTTAGAAATTACTATACTTTTAAAAAAAGAGAATAAAATTTTAATTCTAAAGAATTGACTTTGCACTAGGACTGAAGAAAAATAAGCAATTATATCTTTTATTTTAATAAATTAAACCTTTTTTAAGTAGAGCGTTTAATCTACAATACTAGTTCATTCTTTGCTTAACCCTTCACGCGCTTCGCTCCTGCGGCCCGCTGCACTGCGCCCTGTCCCTAACCTAAACACCAACTCGGCGGATTCGTGCTGCTGCACTGCAGCTTTACCTTGCACACGCCGGGACAGCATCGCTACCGCTCAGCGCGCGCTACGCTCCCTTTGTGGCGAAGCAGAGGAGCCGCCCTCTTCCTCGCTCCGCTTCACACGCTCCGCAGGCCGCGCCCAGTGCGGAGCGAGCGAGGGTAGAAGAGGGAGGGTGCCGAACAAAGAGCTAGGCTGGGCGGCTGCAGGACTCATAATTTTTTGCTCACCTACCTCCAACGGGTGGGCTGATTATCCCCGCTCTCCTCTATCAGATCTACGATATCCACGCCTCCTTCTGCACGCTCCCATCCGCAGTCGATCCTTACGCTCGGTGTGGTAGGTGCGCTACCCTTCCCCGACCCGAGGGGAAGCGGACCGCTAAATTAGCGGTCCGCTTGCGCCGAGTGGATCGCTGCCCAATACCTCCTCGGTCTTTATTTTATTCGATAATTTCACTACCATCTAGATCTCCTTCGTACTCTATTGCTTTAAGGATATATCACTCTTAATATAAGATAGATAAGGATCCGCTTACTTCGGTTGCTTATCCAGGTTCACAATCTGCACAGACCAGGGGCAAGGCGAACGATAATACGGAGTATGCTAAAGCAATCCTACTCCGCTCGGCCTGCGGGCCTCTCCTCCTGTAGCAGGGGGTGCGCACCCCCACCTGAAGGGCGAGGGTGCAGGAGGGTTAATTAAATTCAAGGAGGCGCGGACTGGTACGCAGCCCTTGCTGGACGAGTGGACCCAGGCGACCCCCAAAGTGCTAAAGCAGGAAGGGGGTATCAGTTATATTTCTGCGATTCTTTGTTTAGGTTACTTGAGTTATAGCTCTAACTCTGCTGCGCGCGGTAACAAGGTCTCCGCTAGTCCTTTATGTGACGTATATTTCTAGGAACTTTATCTGTTCCCCTCACGCGCTCCGCTCCGCGCCTGCGGACCGCAGTGCGCAGCAGCCGAGTGAAGGTTGCTAAAGCAGTCCGCCCTGCGCCCTGCAGCGCTGGGCGAGCACACTTGCGCGCGGGCTGAATGACATTAGTAGTAATCATTAGTAGCCTTAGTTTAACTAATTATTAATAAAGAAGGGTCCTAGTTTCTAAACTCGTATTACTGCCTGCGAGCGCGAAGCGAGAGCAGGATTCGCTCCTGCGCTCGCCAGCAGCGCACTGCGCTCGCCCAGCGGAGCGCGCGGAGCGGTGGTTCTGCTTTATGCGCTTCGCTCCCTTCGGGGGCGCACTGCGCCCTGCGGGGAGATAAATTTTAATTCAGCTTCAAGTTACTTCCTTCTGATAGTATCAACTGTGGAGAAATTAATAAAAAAATATAAAGTAGGGATGTAAATAATTAATAGAGTAGTAAAATCTGTAAAATTGTCATCTAAAATTAAAGGAGCAAAAGAAAATGAAATTAAAAACATAAACCCTGAAATAATATAAATAATATATGAAGGTATCAATCCTGTATCTAATTTAGCAATATTTTTTGCGATCTTAGTGAATAAATTAGACAATCCAAAAGGTCCTACTAATTCTATAACACCTTTATCTAATTCTTCTGATATTTTGTAACCAAATTTAAATCCTTTGCTAATGATATAGTTATTATATAGTACATCAAAGAAGTACTTACTATTTAAAAAAGTGTATATTTTTGATATAAATATTGTTTCAGTTAATTTTATTATAAAATTAATATTTTTATTATATAGATATAAGGCTAATAAAGCTCCAATTATACTTAAAAAAGTAGGTAAAAGTTTAATAATTACGGGTAAACTAAATTCAGCCTCAACTAATGTTACATTATCAGGGTGTATAAATAATGCATCACTTCCTTTAGAAGCAGTTCCCGCTAAAAAATCAGTACCAATTCCAACAAATAAATCTGAAAAGATATAACCAAAAAAATACTAAATATACCCAAAATAATCATAGGTAATATCATTATAAAACTAGACTCGTGTGAATTTAAATATGTTAATTTACCCCCATTAGGCGAAGTTAAGAAAACTAAACTTATTAACCTAAAACTATAAAAAGCAGTTAAAAAAGCAGTTAATGAACCTAATACAAAAGCATAAGTTCCACTAAAGCTATATTTACTATAAGCTAATTCTAATATTAAATCTTTACTATAATAACCCGAAACAAAAGGTAAAGCCATTAATGAAATAGTTCCTACCATTAATAAGGAATAAGTAACGGGTAAAAATTTAATCAGTCCACCCATTTTTCTAACATCTTGTTGATCAGCTACTGCATGAATAATTGAACCACTAGCTAAAAATAGTAGAGCTTTAAAGAAACTATGATTTACTACATGAAATAAGGCCACATTATACTGACTAAGCCCTACAGCCATCATCATATAACCTAATTGACTAATAGTAGAGAAGGCAACAATTCTTTTTAAATCATTTTGAACTAGCCCCGATGAAGCAGCTACAAAAGCAGTGGTAGAACCGATAAAAGTTAATATTAGTAAAGCTGTAGGGCTATATTCTAAAATAGGTGAACTTCTTAATAGTAAATAAATTCCCGCTGTAACAAGAGTAGCAGCATGTAGTAAGGCTGAAACTGGAGTAGGGGCTTCCATACTACCAGGCAACCAACTATGTAAAGGGATTTGAGCGGATTTAGCTAAACTACCCCCAATTAATAATAATGAAATAATAGTAATAGCTAATTGATTAGCACTAGGGGCTAATGAAAAAATAGACTCGTAATTAAGAGTCCCAAATAAACCAAATAAGGCAAAGAAACCGATACTTAATATCATATCCCCTGTTCTATTCATAGTAAAGGCCAATATAGCTGCTTTGTTTGCTTGTATTCTTGTAAAATAGAAATTAATTAACAAATAGGAGAATACCCCAATTGCTTCCCAACCCACAAACATTACAAAATAATTCCCTCCAAAAACTAAAACTAGCATACCTCCTGTGAAAGCAGATAAGTAAGCAAAAAATCTTTGATTATGGGCATCAGTTTCTAAGTAAGAAATACTATAAAAGTGAATAAGAGTAGAACAATATAAAACTGCTAAACCTAATGAAATACTTAAATTATCGAATTTAAATTCTCAATTGATATTTAAAACTCCAGAGTCTACTCAAGAACCTAAATTTAAATTAATAGATTCTCCACCACATAGTACTATTTTATAAAAAGCAATACTAATTAAGATTGAAGAAAGCAGTAAAGATAAACAAGTAATAAATTGGGAACCTTTAACTCCTAATTTTCGCCCTAAAAAACCCGCTACAAAAGAACCTAATAAAGGTAAAGCTACAATATTTATTATAATTAAATTAAGATTCATATATTAAACTTTTAGTAATAAATTTCCTCTTAATTTGTAATATGCTACTATTATACTTAATCCTATTATTGATTCAGCACCTGCAATTGATATTATATAAATACTAAATGTTTGACCTATATTGTCATTTAATTCAAAAGAAGTAATTAATATTAATAAAGTGCAAAAACTATATTAGTTTTAGATTACAAAGCCTGACGCTTAACCTTTACGGTCCCATATTACGCTCTGCTTCGCCTCGCGCTTCGCTCCTGCGGCCCGCAGCACTGCGCCCTGCTGAGGACTGCAGTGCTAAAGCAGTCCGCCTTGCGGCGTGCACGGAGGGAGGTGGGGTGGCCTCAGTAGTCTGCTTTTACCTGGACCTCTTGCACTCCGGCGCTACGCTGGTCTGATAAGAGCCTTGCACGCTTCGCGCCTGCATGTTTCGGTCAGCCTAGCCTGGCTAGCTAAAACAGAAGGAAGGTAAAGCAGGCGAAGTAGCTCTAAGCCGGAGTCGAGAAGTAGTACTGAACTCCAGGTATTTTCGAGTCCAGGCTGGTTTTGGTTACACCGGGTGGCTGGCTGGCTATATTGGTAAGGAGTTGACTCCGTAAAACTGCCCTTGCCGGTAGCTTAACTCCGCAAGGTGCTTCTACTTTAGCTGCAATACAGCAGTCCGCAGTCGCGAAGCGCGGGAAGGGTTTGCACCAGGCGCCCTTTGCGATTGCTGAGTAGTAGACGGCCAGCTGAGGGTAGGGCGCGTTGCTAAAGACACCCTCAACTGTGCAGATGCGAGACTGATACTCACCGCACCCGCGGTACGCGAGTAGTGCTTTCGAAAGGCGCAACCGCTCCGCGTCAACTGAGAGCCAGCCAGCGCTCCAGGCTCCGAAGCTTGGGGACTGAGGAAGCAAGTGAAGGAGCTTTAGGTACCGCAGAGAAGCGCTCACCCTTATTAGCGGGTACTGTTTCGCGCTGTGGCGGTTATTGCACAAAGGGTTTTTCTGCAGACGCGGAGAGGCTGTGGTACCAAACAAAGGGTCAGCCATCAGACTCGGTCCCGCGCTTCGCTCCAACGGCCTGCTGTGCTTTAGCTGCTACGCTACTCAGAGTTCGGGCTAGCGGCCTCGAGACAGCGGAGCTCCTCAGAGCTTCGCTCGCTGACGGGAGGGGTTAGGTATCTGAGTCAACACAGAGGGCCTACCCCCTGCAGCGCATTCCCTGATAGGTTAGCAGCAGGCGGAAGGCTGCGGTACGATAATATGTGGGAGTCAAAGTTATATATCGAAGAGTGGGACTCTCCTTTCTACCTAATCTGGACCCTTGGAGGCTACGCCGTAACCAGCTCTACATTACCTGATCCGACCCTGCCCTTACCTTGCCAGCTTCGCCCCCCATCCTCCGCAGTCGCGAAGCGCGGCGGGGGAGGGGCTGTATCTGTATGAGTGCAAGGGTTGAAGCAATCATTCCTCTCATTGAAGTAAGGAGAAGGCCAGTAAGGCAACTAGCTACTGTCCTGAGGCTAAAATTATAAATCAGCAACACTAGAGAGGGTTAATATTAGCAGAGACGGAGCGCCTGAAACTGGAACATATAAAATTTTTAAATAAGCGCACAAGCGAGAGGGTTGCAACTAATATATAAGACCTATTCTATCTTCCGGTATAATAAATTAAAAAAGACTTGTTATCATCTTATTAAGCGCGGCGCATGCAATTAGTACACTTCTACTTTAGCATTCCCGTTTATTCAAGTACGCTTATTTTCGAAAACGCCGAGCAGAACTTAGTTCTCTAATTTATTTTTATACGGAGCCTACGTAAGGTCAATAATAATAAACCGCCAAATATGGATTATAAGTTATCTTAACAAACCCGCGCAGCTTTAGCAACCTGCAGTGCTAAAGCAGAACCACCTCACGCGCTCCCGCGCTTCGCTTCCTCCCTTGCCCTTAAGGGTGGGCGGGCGCGAAGCATCCCTCGCTCCGCATGCGCCCTGCGGAGCGTGCGTAGGGGAGGGGTGGCAGGGCGGCGAGCGCTAAACCACCGAGCCTTATGGTCAGCATGCGCGTAATACCTGCTGCTCCACCAGCCCCGCTGCTCCGAATGGGGTGCGCGCCGCGCGCTTCGCGGCGCAGCACTGCGGCCCGCAGCACTGCGCCCTGCGGAGGACTGCTGCCCCTGCGGAGCGCTGCGCGGGTGGGGAGGGCATAATTTTAAGTAAAAAAAGTCGATGCTAATAATTTCTTTTTTTGTAGCAGTAGCTACGCACCCTTCGGGCGTGCTCCCCTATTATATTGCACTTTCCATTAGTAGAGAGGGAGCACAATAAGAGAAAGTGTAGGGAGGTATACTAATTGAGAACAGTCGAGTTCATAATTTTTTTATTGCAATCTAAATAAAAAATAAATTTTTTGCAAACTAAATAAAAAAATTTATTTTTTCAACCTATTATTCCACTAGATAGCTTGCTCTGTCTTTTTTCTGCTTGCTAACCATGGCTTGGAGGCTAACCCTCCCCCCCCTTTTGAGGTTTAAGCTAGCAGGGCTGGTTTTACGCTCCGGAGCTTTTGTTTAGGAGAAGACCTCTTCGCGCCCTGCAGGGCGCCCTGCTCCTTCGGTTACCCCTTGCCCGCCCGCGCTACTCTCCTGCGCCCAGCAAGGGTCGCGAAACACCTGCGGAGCGGTGCTTCGCCTGCAGGGGGGTTGCCCTTATTTCTCCGCACTCGGAATGCTCCAGCTGGACTACAGCTTAAGTAGCACAAAGGGCTTCGCAGCACAGCAGGCACGCAGCATGCGCGCATGCGCGTAAGCCGCAAGCGCGTAGGCCGCAACCACGAACCCTGCGTAGGGCTTGCGGAGTAGGCAGCATTTGTCTATTAAAAGTTTAGCTTTTTCAGAAGTGAGTGGCTTGTTATTGTACACTACCAATTAATAAATATCTCTAGTGAAAGATTACCCTCTACCTAACCCAGGTTTTCGCCCCGCAGGGCGGACAATCGGGTAGCCCGGGCGCTACTGCCCTAAAGCAGAGGCAGACAGCGGACCGAGGACTGTATGGTAGTATTCACCCTTCCCTTAATCTCCAGCCTACACAACCCTCCCCACGCCTGCCGAGTAACCTTCATAATCCTTAAGGTGGAGTGTAAAATTATTCTAGTTCGGGGTACACACGCTCCGCAACCCGGTACCGTAATATGCGGTACCGGGCTACGCGGAAGCGCTCTACTAGTGCCTCACCGTTTTACAAGGTTAAAAATAAAAATTTTTTTATTAATCTCCCGCAAAGTAAAGGGTTTTGGCTAAATACTAATGACCAAAGCAGTCGAGGGTCGCAAGCGCGAAGCTCCAGCATGCGCGCCCATCCTCCGCAGTCGCGAAGCGCGGCGGGAGCGAAGCGCTAGGGGACTACGAACCCTGCCAACAAGCAGGAGGCGAACCACCGCAGCAGAAGATTTAAGAACAAAAAATTAGACTACTAAAACTATCGAATATTACTAAATTAACTATGCGTAAAGGCCCGTAAATATCTCTGCAACGCTCCACTGTCGCCCTGCTACCGCTGCTGCGCGACCCGCCCCTCCTCACCTTAACTTTGCAGAGATTCGCAGTAGCAAAGCGCGAGGGGTGCTAAAGTTAGGCTGGGAGAGAGTTAGCAGTCCAGGTTGCACTTGAATGAGTATTGCTCTCCCTGCTTACCCTCTGGTCACACCTCATCGGCTCAGCCGAGTTCAAGTTGAGCGTAGCCTCGATTAGCTTCGTAGGCTAAGGTTCAGTAGAAAAAGAAGGTTATTTTATTTGTTAAAGATACTCACTAAAGAGCATGAGGCGGTAACCTATAAAGAATTTTTATAAGTTCTTTTTATTTTCAATATAGTAGGTTTTCTCATTAACTTTTACAAGTTAAGGCTGTCAATGGTAAAAAAAAATTTTTTTTTTCTTCTTAAGAAATATACAGTAGCACACACCCTTCCACGGCTTCAGTAGTTGAGTAATCCCACGTCCTAACTAGGCTCCCGCTACGTAGCGCCGCACAGCGCCGCCCCTCCAGAGCTGAGGGGTAAGCTACGCCCTTCGGAGCGTTCCTGGTCTTCTTTAGAACCGAAGGATGGGGCTCCTTCGGAGTAACCCTTCATGCTCTAACGCACCCCGCGTAGCTCACGCACCTCCGCAGTCGCGGAACGCGCTAAAGCTGGATAAAGGAAAGTTGCGGAGGTAAAAGAGCCAAGGTGGAGGGGAGGGAAGGGCGTATCCTAGGGTACACTCCTGAAGCCGTACCCTTTCACACCCGGTAATGCAACGCTTCGCGACTGCAATACACACCCTAAGATGGCTAGAAGAGTAAAGAGCAGTATAACCTATCCCTCCTTCTCCTTTAGCGGGGGGTGCGTAGCACCGCTGGAGGGGTCTCAGTTACCAAGTTCGAGTCCGCAGACTGCTTCTGCTTTACCTCTGAAGCGTGCGTAGCGCCCGATTATGAAGGTGAATTACTAATTAAAATTTCAAGGAAAGTATTACTGGTTATTAGTCTGCTCCTAATTCGCAGGCTGCCTTAGCCTCCTTCGGAGGATTGCTTTAGCATCCAGATGAGCCAGGAGCGCCTCCTCAACCAGGAGTGCTAGTGTGAAGCAATAGTAGCCTCAATCACAGCTTCCAAAGGTGGTGCTGATAAAGCATGTGCCCTGCGGAGCTCCTGCTGCTCCACCTTCCCTGCAGCTCCGAAGAGGGAACGCGCCGCGCGCTTCGCGGCGCAGCACTGCGGCCCGCAGCACTGCGCCCTGCGGAGGACTGCTGCCCCCTATGGAGCGGTGCGCGGGAGGGGTGAAAATGCAGTAGGAGGGAGGCTAACTAGGCTAACGAAAATAAATAATACTCTTCGTAGCCCCCGCTCCCTTGCTAAAATTATAAGTAAGCAACTCTGATGTTCGAAAGTAGAAAATTTAATGCTAAAAAATTTTTTTATTTAGCTCTGCAATCCAGCTACTGCTTTAGCATCCGAAAGCTGGAAGGGCTCAATTATTCGCTGAAGGGGCTTCGCTGCACAGCAGTACCGGCTCCGCATTGCTTTTATCTCCCCATACGCTACGCCCGGTACGCCCTTGCGGACTTAGCGTATGCTCCTCACTCGCTTCCCTACACTCCAGCTAAAGCAATCGGCCTGCGGAGCGCGTGTAGCGGAGCGAGGAAGGGAGTCGCGCCTCCATACGCCCGCGGAGGCGTGCGGGATCGCTGCGCGGGAGTCGTGCCTCCATCCGCTCCGCGCCTGCGGACCGCAGTGCGCTGCAGGGGAGGCGCGCGGGAGCGCAGCTACTTATTTAGCCTAATACGGGTCTTCTCTACTGCAGCATTAAATTAAGAAGCCGCTGTTCAGCTAGCTGAGCCTGAGCTTATTTTTACAGCTAATAGTAGTAATTCTATAGCTACAATTAGTAAAATTATATTATTTCTGTTTAAAATAAAACCTGCGATTCCACACAGAAATAAAAAAATCATTATTATTTTCATTTTGTAATATAATGTTAGTACCATTTATGATCTTAAATATAACGTTTTTTTAGGGAGACTAATCTTAAACTTTTAAACAAATGTCCACTCCTGGATAGATATAGCTTACAGTGATGCTGATTTAATTTTACGAAACCTTAAAATGTCCAGACGAAGGAGTAGCGTTGCGCGCCGCAGGGCGGACAGGACGACCTTTAGTTAGCAGTAGAGAGTAAGGCAAGCTAAAGCGCTAAACAACTAAAAGGCTAAAAGGTTAAAACACTAAAGCAGAAGAAGGGTGCTTTTATTTTTTTTTTCAAGATTACCCTTGCCGCGCTACTCCGAATGTAAGCAACCCTCTTCGCTCGGCGGCAGCGCACAGCGCTCGGCCAGCGGAGCGCGCGGAGCGCTCCGGGCTAGCGGTGCGCTTGTTTATTTGCTAGTTAAATTAGGCTTAGAAATTATAATAGTAGCAAACATTGCTAATAATAATATTATACTTAAAGATATTAGTAAAATAGCCCCGTATGCGTATAAGTCATTTCCTAGTGATTCTATTTGAGTTCAATTATTAATAGAGTTCATAGCTGAACTTAAATTATTAACTAAATTAGAATAAATTACCGCTGCTTCGTCCCCGTTGCTAAGATTAACTTCGCTTGAAAAATAAAGATCATATAAAACATTGCTATTCAGATGGAATGAACCTGCGGATAAATAATCTAAAGCAATAAAGTTTTGTAAATTAAATGAGTAATTAGTTAATGAATTAATTATATATGCAAAAAAATTACAATAATAAAACTATAAATGCTATTATTTAAAGAAACAGAAGTAGGCTCAACTAAATCTTTATCCTTTAAATTAAGCATCATAATTACAAATAAAAAAAGTACTGCTATGGCTCCAACATATAATATAATATAAGAAATACCTATAAAACTGATACCTACTAATAATAAATAAATAGCAGATAATACAAAAGTAGCTATTAAAAACACAACCGCAAGTACTGGACTATTACCTAAAGAAATAATACTAAAACTAGTAAATAAGATACCGAAAGCTAATAAAAATTGAGTAATTGTTTTCATTTAAATTAAAAATAAAAAATATTTTTTTGCCTTTTAAATTAAAATTTAGGCTTAATCTATTTAATTCTAATAAAAATTTCACACGGTAAGGTTCAGGTATCATGACGATTTCCCGACTTACTTCCTGACCTACATTATCTGAGCCTGCTTTAGTTGCTCTGCCTAACCAGCTACCCTCCCCCCGCCGCGCTTCGCGACACCCGCGCTTTGCGGCCTGCTACAGCAGCAAAGCGCAGGAGGGGTGCGGGAAAGAAAAAAGCAGAGCTAAAGCAGGCTTGGGGTACTAAAGCAGGTACGTGTTTGTTTTTATAGTACTAATTAGCAGGGTTTAACCTTGAATTTTCATCTATTTAGTGTTAGAAGTATAAATTGAAAAGAAAAAAATTTTCACTAAAAATTGCCTTTCTTCGATCACTAGCCCTTCCTGCGAGGGTCCGAGCGCGGATGGAGCCGCGACTGCAATAACCTTGCGGCTTAAAGGCTCAAGCTTCGTGCTGTTTCGCTTCCCTGCTGTGCAGCGCGGCCCCCCCCTTCGGAGGAGCGTGTTCCTGTCACGTAGCGCGCGTAGCTCCTGCTGGTGTGTAGCTCGTGCAAAGTAGCTGTTCAGTAACTGCTTTAGTTTCCAGTGAAGGAGCCTGGAGCGGCAAGGCTGTTTAGCGCGCTGCAGCTAAAGCAGAGCTACGAGTCGTACGAGGGCGGAGCGTAGCTCCTGCAGAGCAGCGACTGCAACTAGTAGGGTCTATTTTTAAACCTATAGCAATATCAATAGCAATAGCAATAGCAATAGAAGTCAGAGAAGCAAATAAAAGCAACCCTCCGCTGTACGATTGCTAGCCTCAGCAGGCAGCGGCCTGCGTAGCGTGCAAAGGTGCGGAGCGAGGAGACTAAATTTTAAGTTTAGCGTAGCGGGTTCGGAGCAGCGACTGCTCTATTTAAAGAATAAAGGTATAAATTTAAATTAAATACAGTTTAACCTCTTAAAAATTTTAAGGTACTTTTTTTTACAAACTATAGAATAATACATGTGCCGTGCCTTGTATTATTCTTTTATTAAAAAAAACATAAATACCTTTTGTACTGGGCTAAACTAATATTTCTCTTATTTTTTTAAGGTACTTTCATTTATAAGCAAATCTTTATATTTTTGTAAATTCTCTCAGCAGTGCTTCGCCTCCTTCCTGCGGAGGACTGCGGACACGAATTAGCGTAGCCTCCTTGTTAATCCACTTATTAAAATAAACAAGCCTATAGCTAGAAAGACCTTCAGGTAGCTGGAGATTTAGTTCCGGTGGAGTTTACGCCCTACATTGATACCTTAGAGAGTTATGCTACCTACCTTATTTTTTTAGTAGGTTGCTATAATTAACTTAAATTGATTTCTGTTCGAATACTGCGCGGCCCTGCGTCTTCAAGATACAGCCCCTGTCGGCACAGCACTGCAGCCAAGCGGAGCTGGGCGGGTGTTTGCAGGTTATCCGCAGGGAAGCACCGCCCCTTACCTCCTACTTCTTACCGAGAAGGGTGCCGCCCTGCGGTGTCAGGGGTGTCCCATATGCTTCCGCACTTTGCTAAAGCAGGAGTGGGCTAAAGCAGGCGAGGAACAGCGCTGGTGCTTATCCTGCCACAGGCCCCACCTCGACATCTACTAAGCAGTATCCTATCTCAAACAGGATAGCTTCGCGCCTACGGAGTATCGCACAGCATATTCCCTTTGTCCTCTCCCGAATAGGGCTGCCTAGCCCGTACTGCTAGCTTCTGGGCTTTGGCTCTCGAAGGGAGACGGCAGTCGCTGATTTAGCGGGGGAGCGGTGGTTCTGCTTTAGCACTGCAGTGAAGCCTGAAGCGTGAAGCATTTCACTTTTGGGATTTCCTAGGAGTAATCTTTTGGTTTGGGAGAAGGAACCTAATTCGAATCTGAAACCGTCCTGTGGGGGGGGGGGATATAGAACAGTTATCCCCCCTATATTGCAAATTGGACAGACACTATTGAAGAGAATAAATCTTTTTTAAGGCTAAGACGCTGTCCTGCTCTGTAGGGAGGTGGGGTGAACACTGCTAATATAGTCGATGGTGTAAGCTTCCAGGTGCTAAAGATGTGCAGTGATTATAAGAGGTAGCTAAGATATTAGCCTTCACCTATCCTAGGGTGGACTGTCACTCGTGTACTTTTTTAATTAGTAAGAGATTATTACAGTGCTTCGCAGAGTAGGGAGGACAGCACTTTTACTCCCTTAAGGTGGCCTTAGCCTTCCGTATCCAGCGTGGGTAGACGTATCAGCTCCTTCGATAGCACGCTAAGGGCTAAAGCGCTAAAGCATATTGGAGTGCTACCGTCCGGAGCTGCAGTGATGCTACCTCCGTATGTACACTCGCATTCGGTCCGCAGGAGCGAAGCATGAAGTGTGAATCAGACAGGGGAGCCCTGATAAGCACGCCTCGCGCTTTGCACGCTTCTGGCGAAGCAGCTGGCGCGCTTTGCGTCCTTCCTTCTTTGTAGCGAGGCTAGTTGTGACCTACTTTTGCAAAGGAGAGGTTTTCCAAGGAACTAGCAAAGGTTGGCAAGGAGTGGTTCGCACGCTACGAGCGCTGCGGCGGTCCGCCACCCTCCTTGCCTTTTGGTCCCTATTAAAGGGGAGTCGCTCCAGCAGCGCTGCAGGGCGCTGCTGGAGGCGACTCCCCTTTAATAGGGGACCAAAAGGCAAGGGAGGGTGGCGGACCGAAGCCGCAGCGCTCGTAGCGTGCGAACCACTCCTTGCCAACCTTTGCTAGTTCCTTGGAAACCTCTCCTTTGCAAAAGTAGGTCACAACTAGCCTCGCTACAAAGAAGGAAGGACGCAAAGCGCGCCAGCTGCTTCGCCAGAAGCGTGCAAAGCGCGAGGCGTGCTTATCAGGGCTCCCCTGTCTGATTCACACTTCATGCTTCGCTCCTGCGGACCGAATGCGAGTGTACATACGGAGGTAGCATCACTGCAGCTCCGGACGGTAGCACTCCAATATGCTTTAGCGCTTTAGCCCTTAGCGTGCTATCGAAGGAGCTGATACGTCTACCCACGCTGGATACGGAAGGCTAAGGCCACCTTAAGGGAGTAAAAGTGCTGTCCTCCCTACTCTGCGAAGCACTGTAATAATCTCTTACTAATTAAAAAAGTACACGAGTGACAGTCCACCCTAGGATAGGTGAAGGCTAATATCTTAGCTACCTCTTATAATCACTGCACATCTTTAGCACCTGGAAGCTTACACCATCGACTATATTAGCAGTGTTCACCCCACCTCCCTACAGAGCAGGACAGCGTCTTAGCCTTAAAAAAAGATTTATTCTCTTCAATAGTGTCTGTCCAATTTGCAATATAGGGGGGATAACTGTTCTATATCCCCCCCCCCCACAGGACGGTTTCAGATTCGAATTAGGTTCCTTCTCCCAAACCAAAAGATTACTCCTAGGAAATCCCAAAAGTGAAATGCTTCACGCTTCAGGCTTCACTGCAGTGCTAAAGCAGAACCACCGCTCCCCCGCTAAATCAGCGACTGCCGTCTCCCTTCGAGAGCCAAAGCCCAGAAGCTAGCAGTACGGGCTAGGCAGCCCTATTCGGGAGAGGACAAAGGGAATATGCTGTGCGATACTCCGTAGGCGCGAAGCTATCCTGTTTGAGATAGGATACTGCTTAGTAGATGTCGAGGTGGGGCCTGTGGCAGGATAAGCACCAGCGCTGTTCCTCGCCTGCTTTAGCCCACTCCTGCTTTAGCAAAGTGCGGAAGCATATGGGACACCCCTGACACCGCAGGGCGGCACCCTTCTCGGTAAGAAGTAGGAGGTAAGGGGCGGTGCTTCCCTGCGGATAACCTGCAAACACCCGCCCAGCTCCGCTTGGCTGCAGTGCTGTGCCGACAGGGGCTGTATCTTGAAGACGCAGGGCCGCGCAGTATTCGAACAGAAATCAATTTAAGTTAATTATAGCAACCTACTAAAAAAATAAGGTAGGTAGCATAACTCTCTAAGGTATCAATGTAGGGCGTAAACTCCACCGGAACTAAATCTCCAGCTACCTGAAGGTCTTTCTAGCTATAGGCTTGTTTATTTTAATAAGTGGATTAACAAGGAGGCTACGCTAATTCGTGTCCGCAGTCCTCCGCAGGAAGGAGGCGAAGCACTGCTGAGAGAATTTACAAAAATATAAAGATTTGCTTATAAATGAAAGTACCTTAAAAAAATAAGAGAAATATTAGTTTAGCCCAGTACAAAAGGTATTTATGTTTTTTTTTAATAAAAGAATAATACAAGGCACGGCACATGTATTATTCTATAGTTTGTAAAAAAAAGTACCTTAAAATTTTTAAGAGGTTAAACTGTATTTAATTTAAATTTATACCTTTATTCTTTAAATAGAGCAGTCGCTGCTCCGAACCCGCTACGCTAAACTTAAAATTTAGTCTCCTCGCTCCGCACCTTTGCACGCTACGCAGGCCGCTGCCTGCTGAGGCTAGCAATCGTACAGCGGAGGGTTGCTTTTATTTGCTTCTCTGACTTCTATTGCTATTGCTATTGCTATTGATATTGCTATAGGTTTAAAAATAGACCCTACTAGTTGCAGTCGCTGCTCTGCAGGAGCTACGCTCCGCCCTCGTACGACTCGTAGCTCTGCTTTAGCTGCAGCGCGCTAAACAGCCTTGCCGCTCCAGGCTCCTTCACTGGAAACTAAAGCAGTTACTGAACAGCTACTTTGCACGAGCTACACACCAGCAGGAGCTACGCGCGCTACGTGACAGGAACACGCTCCTCCGAAGGGGGGGCCGCGCTGCACAGCAGGGAAGCGAAACAGCACGAAGCTTGAGCCTTTAAGCCGCAAGGTTATTGCAGTCGCGGCTCCATCCGCGCTCGGACCCTCGCAGGAAGGGCTAGTGATCGAAGAAAGGCAATTTTTAGTGAAAATTTTTTTCTTTTCAATTTATACTTCTAACACTAAATAGATGAAAATTCAAGGTTAAACCCTGCTAATTAGTACTATAAAAACAAACACGTACCTGCTTTAGTACCCCAAGCCTGCTTTAGCTCTGCTTTTTTCTTTCCCGCACCCCTCCTGCGCTTTGCTGCTGTAGCAGGCCGCAAAGCGCGGGTGTCGCGAAGCGCGGCGGGGGGAGGGTAGCTGGTTAGGCAGAGCAACTAAAGCAGGCTCAGATAATGTAGGTCAGGAAGTAAGTCGGGAAATCGTCATGATACCTGAACCTTACCGTGTGAAATTTTTATTAGAATTAAATAGATTAAGCCTAAATTTTAATTTAAAAGGCAAAAAAATATTTTTTATTTTTAATTTAAATGAAAACAATTACTCAATTTTTATTAGCTTTCGGTATCTTATTTACTAGTTTTAGTATTATTTCTTTAGGTAATAGTCCAGTACTTGCGGTTGTGTTTTTAATAGCTACTTTTGTATTATCTGCTATTTATTTATTATTAGTAGGTATCAGTTTTATAGGTATTTCTTATATTATATTATATGTTGGAGCCATAGCAGTACTTTTTTTATTTGTAATTATGATGCTTAATTTAAAGGATAAAGATTTAGTTGAGCCTACTTCTGTTTCTTTAAATAATAGCATTTATAGTTTTATTATTGTAATTTTTTTTGCATATATAATTAATTCATTAACTAATTACTCATTTAATTTACAAAACTTTATTGCTTTAGATTATTTATCCGCAGGTTCATTCCATCTGAATAGCAATGTTTTATATGATCTTTATTTTTCAAGCGAAGTTAATCTTAGCAACGGGGACGAAGCAGCGGTAATTTATTCTAATTTAGTTAATAATTTAAGTTCAGCTATGAACTCTATTAATAATTGAACTCAAATAGAATCACTAGGAAATGACTTATACGCATACGGGGCTATTTTACTAATATCTTTAAGTATAATATTATTATTAGCAATGTTTGCTACTATTATAATTTCTAAGCCTAATTTAACTAGCAAATAAACAAGCGCACCGCTAGCCCGGAGCGCTCCGCGCGCTCCGCTGGCCGAGCGCTGTGCGCTGCCGCCGAGCGAAGAGGGTTGCTTACATTCGGAGTAGCGCGGCAAGGGTAATCTTGAAAAAAAAAATAAAAGCACCCTTCTTCTGCTTTAGTGTTTTAACCTTTTAGCCTTTTAGTTGTTTAGCGCTTTAGCTTGCCTTACTCTCTACTGCTAACTAAAGGTCGTCCTGTCCGCCCTGCGGCGCGCAACGCTACTCCTTCGTCTGGACATTTTAAGGTTTCGTAAAATTAAATCAGCATCACTGTAAGCTATATCTATCCAGGAGTGGACATTTGTTTAAAAGTTTAAGATTAGTCTCCCTAAAAAAACGTTATATTTAAGATCATAAATGGTACTAACATTATATTACAAAATGAAAATAATAATGATTTTTTTATTTCTGTGTGGAATCGCAGGTTTTATTTTAAACAGAAATAATATAATTTTACTAATTGTAGCTATAGAATTACTACTATTAGCTGTAAAAATAAGCTCAGGCTCAGCTAGCTGAACAGCGGCTTCTTAATTTAATGCTGCAGTAGAGAAGACCCGTATTAGGCTAAATAAGTAGCTGCGCTCCCGCGCGCCTCCCCTGCAGCGCACTGCGGTCCGCAGGCGCGGAGCGGATGGAGGCACGACTCCCGCGCAGCGATCCCGCACGCCTCCGCGGGCGTATGGAGGCGCGACTCCCTTCCTCGCTCCGCTACACGCGCTCCGCAGGCCGATTGCTTTAGCTGGAGTGTAGGGAAGCGAGTGAGGAGCATACGCTAAGTCCGCAAGGGCGTACCGGGCGTAGCGTATGGGGAGATAAAAGCAATGCGGAGCCGGTACTGCTGTGCAGCGAAGCCCCTTCAGCGAATAATTGAGCCCTTCCAGCTTTCGGATGCTAAAGCAGTAGCTGGATTGCAGAGCTAAATAAAAAAAATTTTTTAGCATTAAATTTTCTACTTTCGAACATCAGAGTTGCTTACTTATAATTTTAGCAAGGGAGCGGGGGCTACGAAGAGTATTATTTATTTTCGTTAGCCTAGTTAGCCTCCCTCCTACTGCATTTTCACCCCTCCCGCGCACCGCTCCATAGGGGGCAGCAGTCCTCCGCAGGGCGCAGTGCTGCGGGCCGCAGTGCTGCGCCGCGAAGCGCGCGGCGCGTTCCCTCTTCGGAGCTGCAGGGAAGGTGGAGCAGCAGGAGCTCCGCAGGGCACATGCTTTATCAGCACCACCTTTGGAAGCTGTGATTGAGGCTACTATTGCTTCACACTAGCACTCCTGGTTGAGGAGGCGCTCCTGGCTCATCTGGATGCTAAAGCAATCCTCCGAAGGAGGCTAAGGCAGCCTGCGAATTAGGAGCAGACTAATAACCAGTAATACTTTCCTTGAAATTTTAATTAGTAATTCACCTTCATAATCGGGCGCTACGCACGCTTCAGAGGTAAAGCAGAAGCAGTCTGCGGACTCGAACTTGGTAACTGAGACCCCTCCAGCGGTGCTACGCACCCCCCGCTAAAGGAGAAGGAGGGATAGGTTATACTGCTCTTTACTCTTCTAGCCATCTTAGGGTGTGTATTGCAGTCGCGAAGCGTTGCATTACCGGGTGTGAAAGGGTACGGCTTCAGGAGTGTACCCTAGGATACGCCCTTCCCTCCCCTCCACCTTGGCTCTTTTACCTCCGCAACTTTCCTTTATCCAGCTTTAGCGCGTTCCGCGACTGCGGAGGTGCGTGAGCTACGCGGGGTGCGTTAGAGCATGAAGGGTTACTCCGAAGGAGCCCCATCCTTCGGTTCTAAAGAAGACCAGGAACGCTCCGAAGGGCGTAGCTTACCCCTCAGCTCTGGAGGGGCGGCGCTGTGCGGCGCTACGTAGCGGGAGCCTAGTTAGGACGTGGGATTACTCAACTACTGAAGCCGTGGAAGGGTGTGTGCTACTGTATATTTCTTAAGAAGAAAAAAAAAATTTTTTTTTACCATTGACAGCCTTAACTTGTAAAAGTTAATGAGAAAACCTACTATATTGAAAATAAAAAGAACTTATAAAAATTCTTTATAGGTTACCGCCTCATGCTCTTTAGTGAGTATCTTTAACAAATAAAATAACCTTCTTTTTCTACTGAACCTTAGCCTACGAAGCTAATCGAGGCTACGCTCAACTTGAACTCGGCTGAGCCGATGAGGTGTGACCAGAGGGTAAGCAGGGAGAGCAATACTCATTCAAGTGCAACCTGGACTGCTAACTCTCTCCCAGCCTAACTTTAGCACCCCTCGCGCTTTGCTACTGCGAATCTCTGCAAAGTTAAGGTGAGGAGGGGCGGGTCGCGCAGCAGCGGTAGCAGGGCGACAGTGGAGCGTTGCAGAGATATTTACGGGCCTTTACGCATAGTTAATTTAGTAATATTCGATAGTTTTAGTAGTCTAATTTTTTGTTCTTAAATCTTCTGCTGCGGTGGTTCGCCTCCTGCTTGTTGGCAGGGTTCGTAGTCCCCTAGCGCTTCGCTCCCGCCGCGCTTCGCGACTGCGGAGGATGGGCGCGCATGCTGGAGCTTCGCGCTTGCGACCCTCGACTGCTTTGGTCATTAGTATTTAGCCAAAACCCTTTACTTTGCGGGAGATTAATAAAAAAATTTTTATTTTTAACCTTGTAAAACGGTGAGGCACTAGTAGAGCGCTTCCGCGTAGCCCGGTACCGCATATTACGGTACCGGGTTGCGGAGCGTGTGTACCCCGAACTAGAATAATTTTACACTCCACCTTAAGGATTATGAAGGTTACTCGGCAGGCGTGGGGAGGGTTGTGTAGGCTGGAGATTAAGGGAAGGGTGAATACTACCATACAGTCCTCGGTCCGCTGTCTGCCTCTGCTTTAGGGCAGTAGCGCCCGGGCTACCCGATTGTCCGCCCTGCGGGGCGAAAACCTGGGTTAGGTAGAGGGTAATCTTTCACTAGAGATATTTATTAATTGGTAGTGTACAATAACAAGCCACTCACTTCTGAAAAAGCTAAACTTTTAATAGACAAATGCTGCCTACTCCGCAAGCCCTACGCAGGGTTCGTGGTTGCGGCCTACGCGCTTGCGGCTTACGCGCATGCGCGCATGCTGCGTGCCTGCTGTGCTGCGAAGCCCTTTGTGCTACTTAAGCTGTAGTCCAGCTGGAGCATTCCGAGTGCGGAGAAATAAGGGCAACCCCCCTGCAGGCGAAGCACCGCTCCGCAGGTGTTTCGCGACCCTTGCTGGGCGCAGGAGAGTAGCGCGGGCGGGCAAGGGGTAACCGAAGGAGCAGGGCGCCCTGCAGGGCGCGAAGAGGTCTTCTCCTAAACAAAAGCTCCGGAGCGTAAAACCAGCCCTGCTAGCTTAAACCTCAAAAGGGGGGGGAGGGTTAGCCTCCAAGCCATGGTTAGCAAGCAGAAAAAAGACAGAGCAAGCTATCTAGTGGAATAATAGGTTGAAAAAATAAATTTTTTTTATTTAGTTTGCAAAAAATTTATTTTTTATTTAGATTGCAATAAAAAAATTATGAACTCGACTGTTCTCAATTAGTATACCTCCCTACACTTTCTCTTATTGTGCTCCCTCTCTACTAATGGAAAGTGCAATATAATAGGGGAGCACGCCCGAAGGGTGCGTAGCTACTGCTACAAAAAAAGAAATTATTAGCATCGACTTTTTTTACTTAAAATTATGCCCTCCCCACCCGCGCAGCGCTCCGCAGGGGCAGCAGTCCTCCGCAGGGCGCAGTGCTGCGGGCCGCAGTGCTGCGCCGCGAAGCGCGCGGCGCGCACCCCATTCGGAGCAGCGGGGCTGGTGGAGCAGCAGGTATTACGCGCATGCTGACCATAAGGCTCGGTGGTTTAGCGCTCGCCGCCCTGCCACCCCTCCCCTACGCACGCTCCGCAGGGCGCATGCGGAGCGAGGGATGCTTCGCGCCCGCCCACCCTTAAGGGCAAGGGAGGAAGCGAAGCGCGGGAGCGCGTGAGGTGGTTCTGCTTTAGCACTGCAGGTTGCTAAAGCTGCGCGGGTTTGTTAAGATAACTTATAATCCATATTTGGCGGTTTATTATTATTGACCTTACGTAGGCTCCGTATAAAAATAAATTAGAGAACTAAGTTCTGCTCGGCGTTTTCGAAAATAAGCGTACTTGAATAAACGGGAATGCTAAAGTAGAAGTGTACTAATTGCATGCGCCGCGCTTAATAAGATGATAACAAGTCTTTTTTAATTTATTATACCGGAAGATAGAATAGGTCTTATATATTAGTTGCAACCCTCTCGCTTGTGCGCTTATTTAAAAATTTTATATGTTCCAGTTTCAGGCGCTCCGTCTCTGCTAATATTAACCCTCTCTAGTGTTGCTGATTTATAATTTTAGCCTCAGGACAGTAGCTAGTTGCCTTACTGGCCTTCTCCTTACTTCAATGAGAGGAATGATTGCTTCAACCCTTGCACTCATACAGATACAGCCCCTCCCCCGCCGCGCTTCGCGACTGCGGAGGATGGGGGGCGAAGCTGGCAAGGTAAGGGCAGGGTCGGATCAGGTAATGTAGAGCTGGTTACGGCGTAGCCTCCAAGGGTCCAGATTAGGTAGAAAGGAGAGTCCCACTCTTCGATATATAACTTTGACTCCCACATATTATCGTACCGCAGCCTTCCGCCTGCTGCTAACCTATCAGGGAATGCGCTGCAGGGGGTAGGCCCTCTGTGTTGACTCAGATACCTAACCCCTCCCGTCAGCGAGCGAAGCTCTGAGGAGCTCCGCTGTCTCGAGGCCGCTAGCCCGAACTCTGAGTAGCGTAGCAGCTAAAGCACAGCAGGCCGTTGGAGCGAAGCGCGGGACCGAGTCTGATGGCTGACCCTTTGTTTGGTACCACAGCCTCTCCGCGTCTGCAGAAAAACCCTTTGTGCAATAACCGCCACAGCGCGAAACAGTACCCGCTAATAAGGGTGAGCGCTTCTCTGCGGTACCTAAAGCTCCTTCACTTGCTTCCTCAGTCCCCAAGCTTCGGAGCCTGGAGCGCTGGCTGGCTCTCAGTTGACGCGGAGCGGTTGCGCCTTTCGAAAGCACTACTCGCGTACCGCGGGTGCGGTGAGTATCAGTCTCGCATCTGCACAGTTGAGGGTGTCTTTAGCAACGCGCCCTACCCTCAGCTGGCCGTCTACTACTCAGCAATCGCAAAGGGCGCCTGGTGCAAACCCTTCCCGCGCTTCGCGACTGCGGACTGCTGTATTGCAGCTAAAGTAGAAGCACCTTGCGGAGTTAAGCTACCGGCAAGGGCAGTTTTACGGAGTCAACTCCTTACCAATATAGCCAGCCAGCCACCCGGTGTAACCAAAACCAGCCTGGACTCGAAAATACCTGGAGTTCAGTACTACTTCTCGACTCCGGCTTAGAGCTACTTCGCCTGCTTTACCTTCCTTCTGTTTTAGCTAGCCAGGCTAGGCTGACCGAA